CTGTATGTTCATGTGGATACACGTGCTGTATCTTCATGTAGATAGACGTGTTGTTTGTTCATGTAGATACACGTGCTGTATGTTCATGTGGATACACGTGTTGTTTGTTCATGTAGATACACGTGCTGTATGTTCATGTAGATACACGTGCTGTATGTTCATGTATATACTGGGGCTGTACCGAATAGTGATTATCACTATTCCACCGAATACGAATAGCTGGACCAACGATTCGGCCGAATTCAAATACGAATACGAATAGTGAATCATCATCAACAGGTGCTTTGCCGACTGGCATAGGCGATTATGCCTCGCCACAATCTGCGATCTCCTGCAGCATGTATTAGTTCGTGTGTTGACACACCTCCACGCCAAGCAACAAGACTGTCAAGAATCTTCTCTCGTTGTTTTTCTCTATCTCTCCTTCCATAGATCTTTCTAGTGGTCACCACATGTTCCATTTTCCCTCATCTTATAACATTGCAGAACAATGATGACTGTCTCCTTCTGATGTCTGTGAGTAGTTATCTTCGGGCTCCCGCCTCTATCGAAACCTCTTGTTTGTTGGTTGTCCAAGGTATTTCAAACAATTTCTTTGAAACCACCATTACTTCCTACTTCTTCCCACTATTCAAACTGAGGCCCACTTTCGTGTATAAAATAGATCTTGAAAAAAAATAATAAAAAAAACATCTATAATGTAAAATGTACGCTGAAATGTTATTTCACAAAATGTAGTACAGAATAGTAAACATATAAAAACATTTCATGTTTTGCATCCTTCAGTCAGTCAGCCTGTGGTAACTAATACCTAGGAATGACAACGCTTGACAGTATGAATCAGGTGGTAAATCTTGATATGTTTATTTTCCACCAGTCCAGAAACGGGTGTAAGGTAACCACTATTCGTATTCGGTCCGACCGCAACTACTCGGGTGAATACCGAATAGTTATTAGGTCCACTATTCGGCCCTGAAGTGAATACGAAGCGAATATTCAGTAGAACTTTAGTATATACACGTGCTGTATGTTCATGTAGATACACGTGCTGTATGTTCATGTAGATACATGTGCAGAATGTTCATATAGATACTAGTGTTGTATGTTCATCTGGATACACGTGCTGTATGCTCATGTAGATACACATGCTGTATGATCATTTATATACACGTTCTGTATGTTCATGTGGATACCTGTGCTGTATGTTCATGTAGATCCACGTGCTGTATGTTCATGTAGATACACGTGCTGTATGTTCATGTGGAAACCTGGGCTGTATATTCATGTAGATGCATGTGCTGTATGTTCATGTAGATACCTGCCAGTATCTTCATGTAGATACCTGTGCTGCATGTTCATGTAGATACCTGTGCTGTATGTTCATGTAGATACCCGTGCTGTATGTTCATGTAGATACACGTGCTGTATGTTCACGTAGACACACGTGCTGTATGTTCATGTAGATACACGTGCTGTATGTTTATGTGGATACCTGTGCTGTATGTTCATGTGAATACCTGTGCTATATGTTCACGTAGATACACGTGCTTTATGTTTATGTAGATACACGTGCTGTATGCTTATGTAGATACACGTGTTGTATGTTCATGTAGATACACGTGCTGTATGTTCATGTGGATACCTGTGCTGTATGTTCATGAAGATACACGTGCTGTATGTTCATGTAGATACACGTGCTGTATGTTCATGTGGATACTCGTGCTGTATGTTTATGTAGATACACGTGCTGTATGTTCATATATATACACGTGCTGTATGTTCATGTGGATACCTGTGCTGTATGTTCACGTAGATACACGTGCTGTATGTTCATGTGGGTTCACGTGCTGTTTGGTTATGTAGATACACGCGCTGTTTGTTCATGTAGATACCTGTGCTGTATGTTCATGTAGATACACGTGCTGTATGTTCATGTAGATACCCGTGCTGTATGTTCATGTAGATAAACGCGCCGTATGTTCATGTAGATACATGTGCTGTATGTTTATGTAGATACCTGTGATGTTTGTTCATATAGATAGGATGCCAATGGCTGTTTGTTTATATAGATAGGATGCCAATGGCTGTTTGTTCATGTAGATAGGATGCTAATGGCTGTTTGTTCATGTAGATAGGATGCCAATGGCTGTTTGTTCATATAGATAGGATGCCAATGGCTGTTTGTTCATGTAGATAGGATGCTAATGGCTGTGTGTTCATGTGGATGCTAATGGCTGTTTGTTCATGCAGATACACGTGCTGTGTTTTCATGTCAACACACACACGGGCCGTGTAGAAGATTGCATCAATGAATTAAAACTGACGGCGGCGCTGCTAGGAAGTGATGCTATGATCTTTGGTTTGTGTGTGATTGCTTTCCTGACGGTAGAAAAGACATGAAGAACAATGTTGGAATGATCGTGGTCTGGCTGCCAGTTTAGGTGGGAGCACCATATTATAATGTTGCCACAGCAAGGCGCCGTCTTATAATGTTGCAATAGTAATGCCCCATTTCATAGAGTTGTAATAGAGGGGCGCCATGTTATTGTGTTGCAGTTTCTGTTGTTTTAATACCCAGCAGCATTATGTGCCCCCCCCCCCCCAAAAAAAAAAAAAAGTGAGGCGCCATGTAGTAATTTGTAGTGTAATTTTAAAAAAATGTATTTTTACCAATTGTCTCTAAACTTTTGTAACGCACATGACATGTATATAATAAGGTGCATTACCACACAACCACCGCATGTGATGACGTGGTTCAGTATACTTATTCATGCACCAACAATCAAATCAAGTTAAAGTAATCGATCCCATCAGACTGACCCTAACTTTATTGTACTGTCTTTCTCCAACTTGATGTTGAATCATTTGACCAATTTTTACATTTCCAATGTTCAGTCGTTCTACCAACTGTTAAATTTCTGATGTTCTTCAAACGTGAGGACACTTTGCCGACTAACTGTCTCTAGAGCATATCTCTGGAGTCTGTCTCTGGACAATGTAATGTTTTATCTGTGACTGTGACTTCTACATCTCTCTGGAGTATGAGATGTTTTATCTGTGACTGTGACTTCTGTACCTTTCTGGAGTATGAGATGTTTTATCTGTGACTGTGACTTGTGTACCTTTCTGGAGTATGAGATGTTTTATCTGTGACTGTGACTTCTACATCTCTCTGGAGTATGAGATGTTTTATCTTTGACTGTAACTTCTGTACCTCTCTGGAATATGAGATGTTTCATCTGTGACTTCAGATTTTTCAAAGTGGTTTAGAGGCGTATTTTCGGTTTCCTGGTTCTTGCGTGTGAACAGACTGGTTTAACTTCAGTGAATTTGTCTGAGAACAGGAAAATACACTTTGTGTAGGCGTTAGAGAAAATAAACTTTGTGTGAACGTTAGAGAAAATAAACATTGTGTGAACGTTAGAGAAAATAAACATTGTGTAGGCGTTAGAGAAAATACACTTTGTGTAGGCGTTAGAGAAAATAAACTTTGTGTAGGCGTTAGAGAAAAAAACAAACATTGTGTAGGCGTTAGAGAAAATAAACATTGTGTAGGCGTTAGAGAAAATAAACGGTGTGTAGGCGTTAGAGAAAACAAACTTTGGGTAGGCGTTAGAGAAAATAAACTTTGTGTAGGCGTTAGAGAAAATAAACTTTGTGTAGGTGTTAGAGAAAATAAACATTGTGTGCACGTTAGGAAAACGTAAACAAACGTTACAGATGCACACTTGTATATCCTTGTACTAGTTGTTGTGCCTGTGTGGCTTCAGGGGCGGGCATGTTTATGTTTTTGTAAGTAAATTTAGAAAAGAGGAATTTAAAAATGTATTCTACAAGATAATGTACTTACTCTTCCTATTTCTGTTTCTAGAATCTCGAATTCATTTAATTTCCACGTGTGGGTTTCAGGGTTCAATTGTGGGGAAAACAAGAATAGACCCACTACCTCCCCAACAAGTATGTCGTAGGAGTCGAGTAATTGGGAGGGCATGCTTCAAAGTCGGAGTACATCTGCCTGAGAGGTAAGGTACATAGAATGTGTGTACAAATAAGCCAGATCTGTAAAACGGGTGTGCACGCAACTTGCAGGTTCTGGAACAAGATTGAAGTCTGGAGATGGATGAACACCCTGAACCTTCTACTGAAGTTTACAGAGAAAGAAACAGAAAGAATGAATTGATTACTCTGTGAATAAGTAAATCAGTCAAGAAATCAATTCTAGAATAAGAAAACTGGTTAGTCAGTCGGCACATAATAAGAACAATCAAAGAATTGGTGACTGAAAGAACATTTCAGTCAGCCAATTACGTATAAATAGATCAGTAACTGATAACATGAACATTTTCGACAACCTAACCAATACACCAGTCACTCAATACATCAGTCAACTAATTTAGCAGACAATAATTCGTCGAATACACCAGTAGGTAAACTGTTCAATGGCTCAATCACTCATTGAACACGTGAATGGCTCAATCAATCACTGAGCACATGAATAGCTCAATCAGTCACTGAGCACACGAATGGCTCAATCAACCACTGAGCACATGAACAGCTTAAACAATCACTGAGCACAGGGATGGCTCAAACAATCACTGAGAACATGGGATGGGTCAATCAGTCAGTGAAAACGTGAATGAATCAATCTGCCAGTGAACACATGAATGGGTCAATAAGTCTGTTAACACGTGAATTGGTCAATCAATCACTGAACACGTGAATGACTCGATTAGTAACTGAATGGGTGAATAAGTCAGTGAATAAGTGAATGGCTCAATTATTTGGTGAACATGTGAGTGGCTCGATCAGTCATTGAGCACATGAATAGGTCAATCTGTCAGTGATCACGTGAATGGGTCAATCAGTCAGTGAACACGTGAATAGGTCAATCAGTCAGTGAACACCTGAATAGGTCAATCAGTCAGTGATCACGTGAATAGGTCAATCAGTCAGTGAACACGTGAATGGCTGAACACAAAGGTGATAACCTCCAGGCTTACCTATGGAGTTTTCTTCATGTATCGTAGCTGGATATAGGCCAAGGTCAACAGTCCACAAGCGTAGACGAGGAGAGCCACGTGATTCTGCCAGAAGTCCCAATCTTCCCGGAAATGGATTTGTTGGTCCTGCAAAAAATGATCTCCCGTGACGCTGTAGAAATAATCAGACAGAAAACTTATTTTCTGATTTCTGTGGACACAATCAGACACAGACAAATATTTTCTGATTTTCTGGGAAAAATTCAAGTCGTAGATAACTTATTCCATAGTTTATGTGGAAACATAAAGATCATAGACAGGTTTTCTATAATTTATATTGGAACATTTGGGTCATAGATAACTTATCGCATAATATATGTCGACACATTCAGGTCCTTGATATCTTAACATATAGTATATGTCTACAGAAACAAGTAAAAAATAATGTATCCTATGATTTTTGTGGAATCCTTTGAGTCGCAGATAACCTTCTCATAATTTATGTGGAAAACATTCGGGTCGTAGATAACTTATCAAATAATTTATGTGGATACAAACAGGTCAAAGATAACTTATCCCATAATTTCTGTGAAATCCTTCATGTTAAAGATAACTTATGACATAATTTTAGCGGAAATTTTGAGGATAACTCATCAAATAAAGTATGCGGTCACATCATCCTTTTGTAGTACAGCAGCAGAAGCTCTGCGAGGAACAGTTGACAAGCCTTGCAAATGGACAGTCAGATAAAATTGCTTATGATACAGCCTGGCAGATGACCAATGGAAACAGACGGTCGGACAGCCAGCTGAATTGACGAATTGTTGGTTGGACGGGCAGACTACCTTTAGAAATTGTCCTGTTTACTTGGTGAAAAATCGCTCTCATTTATAATACATCCAGGCGGACGAGTAAACAGTCGATCGGACAGTCTGCTGGAAAGACGACTAGTCTATAAGACAGCCTCTGCGAGGATCAGTTGACAAGGCTTGTGATTGTACAGTCACTTATGGTACACCTAGGCAGACTATCAGGAAAAACAGACACTCGGACATCTATTTGAAGGAACGAGTATTTGATTAGACTGATTTGCACAAGTAGAGTAAGACGAAAATACATCAAGCAACTTAAAGTGGTCGAGTGGAGAAAGACATCTAATGACTTAAACTGTATCAGGGATATTTGGGTAGGTCTGGGGAAACTTGACATGATCAAAGAAACAAAACAGGTTTTGTGAAATCGCTCCGCATTCTTTATCCATAATTATTCATTTTTACTCTATAAAAAGTTGAAGCAACCTATGCCTAAAAGATCCTGATGACCCCTGCCCCCTACGGCATGTTCGTAGATAACATTTTATTGCCGCCTAGTTATATACTACTGTAACCACAAACAGACATGAAGAGGCATTGTAGTGAATCTAATTTTCTCCTAGATAATTTATGCCTGGACAGAATGATGTTAGTAATAAACGTGAGTGGAATATTTTGAGTCTAACTGGGACAACACGGGAAATATTGATAGTCAAACTTCACGTAAAGTATAATTATTCACGTGTAGAGAAATGCTGATAGTCAAACTTCATGTGAAGTATAATTATTCACAGGGATCACAAATAAAGCGCTGGCCAAATAGAATTCGGGTAAATCAGGGAACACGGAGAATTCGGGAATACAAAGAGGGGAATTAGAAGGCTATATAATGCCGTAGAAAGGGCTGGGAGTCAGTCTCGTTTAGGGCTAGGAAATGAATACATGACGAATGATGGAGTGTCTGCGGGATCCAGAAAGAGTGTTTAAGTCCGACGTGTCTGCACAGTGTTTTTCCAACGCCTACCTGGCCATCAGTTGCGGCGAACGGAAGTCGTAGCCAGCTGAGAATCTTTTGTGTTTTTGATCGGAAGGAATCGTTGATGTTCATTCAATTGTGGGATGATTGTTAGATTATGAGGTAAAGTTGACATGTTAGTTAATTGAGTGACTATGTTGTCCATTAACATTTACTGGCTGCAATACCAGCGAGTGAACAAAAAAAAAAAAAATGTGTATTTTGAATTGTTCGACAGCGTTCATGTTTTTTCGTGTGTTGTCAGTCGGTGAATGGAAGCGTGCGTTGACTCACTAGAACCAGAAGACAAAAAGAAAGTCATCGCAGGCATGGTCAGCCTCACTTGTTGACCCAGCACTTGATGAGGATGCTGCTGCTTGACTACCCCCGAGCCCTAGCTGACACCCGCCCTAAAAAAAAAGTTTTACATATTTTACTATATCCTTTTCTTCTTCCTTTTTTGCTTTAGGTTTCCTATGCTCAAACCAGACCAATGGGTGGATTGCGTCTTTAAAATCGCATATCACCAGCAGGTCCTTCGTGGTTCCCCATAGCCTGCTCTGCACACTCTTGCTCTTGAGGCCAGGTGTCTTTTCAAAGTTGTAGGTAGAGTTAGCAGGTCTGCAGAACGTGCTCAGGTTTTTTGTGATTATGTCTCACAGGCACACTGTGGGGACTGTATAGTCTTTATTTTATGCACGTGGTATTTGAGTCCTGTTCGTAGACAGAAAATTGTTGTATGTTGTTTTTTATGAGTCTGCAGATGGGATCTTGTGAATGTTTACTTTTGGTTTGTTCTCTCTACAATTCCTTGTATTTTCCCATGATTAGTGTTTTGATCTCTCGTAATGACAATAAATGTGTGTTTTGGTGTGAAGTATAATTTGGATTGTTCGACAGCGTTCATGTTTTCTCATGTGTTGTTAGTCGGTGAATGGAAGCGTGCGATGACTCACCAAAGCCAGAAGACAAAAAGAAAGTCATCTCATGAATAAAGGCTCGTCCAAACAATAGAGGATGGGAAATTTGTATCGAACAGTGAGATTAGCTATCAGCCTGGCGTCGGATAGTACCAGTTCGAAAGGAACGTAAGCGAGGAAGATTGATGGCGAAGTAGCGACACCCAATGTCCGATTGTTTACAGAGTGAACAACGTTTGAACAAATTCCAGGCTTCGAATGCTGGTAGATAAAAGTCCACGATTCAAGTTTCGGCCACCCGTCAACAGAAAGCAACAGAAATATTGTGGATAGTGACAGTGGCAAGGAGCAGTCATCTATGGTAGCAAGGGAAACTTAACAGTAAGTCTACACATGGATGACGTGAGACTAGGGCTGTCCGTCTTCACCAGTTCTGAAGCCCTGTTGATTATTCAAAATTTGTTGCCGACTACAGTGTGGTGAAATGCAGTGGGCAATCTGCACCAAGCAACACAAGAAAGTGTCGACACCAGATCCTGCTTTCGGATCTGTTTTCAAAAAGTACAAAGACAGTTACAACACCGGGTAGTGTGTTGACTGGAAACTGAGATAAAAAGAACAGCAGCTCTGGCACTGGGTATGTGTGTCACAGCTCAACACTATCAAGCGTGGCAAAAAAAATTGGTAGGAAACTACAGTACGAGAAGCCTACGATACCTCAAGATCAACACTCATTAATACCTCAAGATCAACACTCATCAATACCTCAAGATCATCGTATATTAATTGTTCTGAAACACAAGAAAGCGATAATAATAAAGCATTTCAACGACCTAGACACATTCAGTCAACAGTAGAACTATCTAAATAGTCTGTGCAGATCCAAGTGTTAATAAAAATCATTTAAGTGTGTACAGTCAGCAGTGAACTAGCCATAGTATAGTATAATTATAGTGCACAACAGAAACTTAAAGCACATACATTGAACAGTATCCAGTTTGTGCAATCATTAGTACACTGAACATTACCACGAACAGTATGCAGTCTGTGTAATAAGTGCTTCACTGAACATTTCCATGATCAGTATGCATTTGGTGCAATAATTACTACTGTGTTCAATTAAAGTGTGCGGTCATGATTAATTTCAGTACCCATTTGATGCAATAATTACTAATGTGTACAATTAACTAACTTCGTCAAATTAACATTATTTCTTCAATATTTAAAAGTAGCAGGAGAAAGTTCAACTGACAAGCTTCATCTAAACAACTGTCAAAAAAGCAAGTCATCACAGAAGCAGCTTCAGGACAGCTATCAAGAAGGCAACTGGAACAGAACATCAAGATACAGCATCGATTATTAAATATAATTTTTGATTTTTGTTTCTGGTACTTATAGATTATCATTGTGCATTATTCTACTATTGTTTACATTATTTTTTTTAAAATGAATAACTACAAATTAAATTGAATTTTTTTTTTCAGTTTGACAAAAGTGTTCCAAGAAAAGTGGGTGTTATCAAAGTATACAAAAATTTAAGTACCATCATCATCGAGTGCCATAATTAGTCGTACCTGAATAATAAACTTACAAAATATTATTTAAATTACTGTCATCTCGTGTTTGAAATATCAATTATTAATTTTTAAATTAACATAATATCATATAAACACCATCATCGAGTGTCAACAAATTTTTCTTCAATTTTAAATCTCCCATTTGGTCACATTTGATTTATCTTATCCACATTTCAACAACATCAGTGTAGTCACTATAACTAAGGTACAGCTGTAGTTAATAAGAAATTTGCTTTTCTATACCGAGAAAAAAAAATTTAATCTTTGGTGATTTAATAATTGATTGGGTGAAAGGTCATTGTATTATTAGGTGTTGGTACATTTAATGATTGAACACCATATCTTTATTTATTCGATATTGAATAGTATTGTTATTTATTGCTATTATTCACTACATTTATAGGAATTATTTTTTTTTCAATATCCTGCAAACTCGTGTGTTGCAATTTGAGTTCATATACATTGTAACATATTTTTTGCATTGAAAGTGAGTGTAGTAAACATAGGGATAGTATCCAAGAAACAGTAATACTACACATACGGTTAACTTAATTTAAAACAGTACCATCCTATAAGCATCATACTGAATAATTTTATTTATTACCTGTCGATACTACTTATTAAGTGAAATTATTTAATTATTTGAAGTTTTTATTTACTGGTGATTATTCTGTCATAGCCGATTATCGAGGTTAGCTGAATCTTGTATTTGTTTCCAAACAATTGAAATAGTTTGAAAATTTCTTTCATTTAAAGGCTATTTAATTATACCAAGACTATACACAGTTATTACAAATAAAACAATTTTTTTAATTGAAATTTTTTTGCATGGTGTAGACATCAAGTTT